TATCATGTGGAGACTCACGGAGAAATTCTCAATAGGATCTCAAGCCCTAGGAAAACCTCTTCAGGACTTGATCATCACATACACAAACGAAATATACAAAATTCACTAAGTTGCACAAGATCGGACTAAATTGAGCTTAAAGGATGGGTGAAAATACGAACTTCTCAGGACGACCTCTGACGACAAAATGGACTGTGTCAACGCGTCTATGACACCAATTTTAGTAGGAAAAGACACTCATATTGTCATATTTTTTACACGAGCAAAATTGCACGCAAATCGATCAATTCGTCAAAATGACTTCCGGTGGTGAAACGGACCGAGCCAGCACGTACGGAATGTCAAAAGTATCTAAAAGGAACATTCAATTTTCTACAATCTGACACACGAATAAAAATGCATAAATAAGATATTATTTTTGAAATATTAAATATTTTTTTTATTTATAATAAAGTTTTTAATCTTAAACCCTAAACCCTATTCTCTCACACTTAATTCTTCATTCAACCTCGCGGCTTAGTCAGACGCTTGGCTCGTCTCCCTCGTGTGCCCTAGCTCCTGTGGACGATCCACACGACAATCTCTTCCCCCTCTCTCGACTCTTCTCTTTCTTTGCGTGGCCGCTCGACCTTTCGGCTCTCCAATTACATGGGCTGAGCTGGCCGACTCTTCTTCTTCTCGAGGTTCTGCCGTCTCGCAGTTTGAGTCGCTTACCCGGGCGTACCAGTGAGGTTGGTTGGTGGTTGTCCCCTTCTCTTCTCTGCCTATAAAATAGCTTCTTAGTATACTGTTTTAGGTTGTTGAAAATTTCTTGAGAGAAAGGGAGGCTGTGGTTTTACTGTTTGAGACTTTTAGGGAAGAAAGCTCTGCCGAAATTCTTTCTAGGCTAAGTTTTTGTGTGTTGGGAGTGTGGAGCATTCGGGGGTTACTGTTTTCTGAAGCTTTTAGGAAGAGAGGCTCTGCTGAAGTTATCTTTTTGGTTAGGTCCCTGTGTGCTGGACGTTTGGGAGCTTGGTGCCTTTTTCTTTGTTTTTCTTTTAGGAAATCTCAAATAAGGTACTTCTTTTATCTCTTCTATGTTCTGTCACCATGCTCAACACATGTTGGAAGTGCTAAAATGGAAAATGCATGTATGAGGCTTTTGATTTGTTTTAACAGCTATTTCATAAGGGCATTGATATCAAAAATTGAGTCTTTAATACTTCTGTTGGATCTGATTTAGACACTTTATGTGGACTAGTTGAAATAACATTTTAGGGAAAGCATGTTTAGGTCCCTTCTCACATGTAAATCTTTTTCTTACACTTCTAATATTTCCTTACCTATATGCTGGAAATTGCGGCTTTCTTTCTTTGCTTCTTGCTGAACCAGTTTACTGTTAAAAGAAGGATGATGGCTTATGTTTCTTTCCTGTTTAAAATACATAAAAAAGTCATGGATATAAACTTTGGATTGATGCTTACTCATCTAGAATTTATGTTGGAATCCATTTTAGTGTTGAAACATGTTGGCTTTAGTGATGTATGCACACTTAAATGTTTCGTGTTATTTAATTCTATTTGAAACATATGTTGGCACGATATTTTGGAATATAAAGTTCCAAGGAGAAATATTTTCTGTTTTGACCCACTTGTTGGGTTCGGTTTGGACTCTTTTGGAATCAAATTTATGCTGGAAATATTTTCTGTATTGACCCACTTGCTGTGTCCGATTTGAGCTCTTTTGGAATCAAATTATGAATGAAAATATTTTCTATTTTTGGCCCATTTGAAGGACTCGATTTTGGCTCTGTTTTGCCTTTCTTGTGGGCTCGGTTTGCCAATATGCTGGGTGCATTCTTGGCTCATTTGGCTTGAGTTTCTATTGGAAATGTTGATCTGTTTTTCCCCATATGCTAGGTGAGGTTTTGGCTTAAACTGTATTTTTTTCTTTGGCCTTTATGTTGGGATTAATTGAATTTGAAACAAGGAATTGGTTTGGCTTAAAGGCTTATCTGTTGGCTTCCTTTTACTGGGTTTAGTTGAGCTAAAAATGTGTTTTATTTTTGTCCCACCTTGTGGGCTCGGGTATGCCTGTTGTGGCTCCCTGTTTCTTTTGCTCTTCTTCCCGGGCTCAAGTTTGCTGGCCACGGTTTTCTTGTTCTGCCCTTCTATTGGGTTCGGTTGGGTTGGAAATTCTGGATATAATGTTCCATTTTGAGATTTTTTATGTAATCAAGTTTGTCATCCCAAAATTCATGATTTCAATATCTACTTCTATGAGGGAATGCTTAATGTGAGCACTATCATGCCTTATGTGCTGAAAATGGTTTCAATCTAAATAATTTATGTGATTTTATCCATTCACTCTCTTATGTATATTAAAGGAGCATAATGCTAATATTTGTGGCTGCTTTCCCTTTGCCGTGAAGCCTGTTTAATGGTTTTGGTTTGTTTCCCCCCTACTCGTGAGCATCCTAGTTGGTTTCTTTTGTCCTGTTTGGCTTCCTCCTCTCTGCCCTTGGCCGTGAGCCTCACTGTTGTGACTTGTGTTGTGGTTGGCTTGGACTTAACTTTTTCCTCATTTCCCCTGGCTATGAGCTTTCTCTTGTGGTTCTTTGATGATAAAAATGGTTGGTTTAGGCTTAAATGTATGGTAGCCTTTCTTGGCCCTATCCGTGAGTTTATATATGTGATGGCTTCTTTTTTTTTACTGCTCCCCAGTTGGTTTCCCTTTGTCTCAATTGGCAGTTTTGTGCTACCCTTGGTCGTTGGTCTTCTCCTATAACTCTTTTATGATTAATGGGGTTGTTTAAGGGCTTGGTTTTCTTTTCACTACCCTTGGTCGTGAGCCTTAATGTGGAGGTTCTTTGGTCTGTGACATAGTTGGTTCAGGTGGCTTTCTTCTACTGCCCTTGCCTGTGAGCTTTGTCTTATTTACTATCTTAAATTGTGAAGTTTATGTTGAAGTTGGGTTGTGCATTTCACGATTTCTATTTGTGGGCTTGCTGTGAGGCTTAGCTGCTCCCTTTCCTGGCCTTACCCGTGAACCCCTTGCTCTCCTTCCTACTGTTACCCGTGAGCCTGTTGAGGATTATTCAAGTTCATTTTGTCCCGACCGTGAGCATTTCTATATAATCTAAATTAGTGTTACATTTATACAATTGTGGAAAGATTTCAATGAAGGATGGAATTAAATGATTTTGACATCGATGTGATTTTCTGGAAGGCTGGAGAGTTACTTCTTCTATTGATTAATGTCCCTTCTTTTGTGAAATATAAAGGGCTTGTACAATTTCATTTGGAGGAAACATAAGGTTGATGCAAACTGGATTCATGAAAGGTTTGAAAATTCATAAAATTGTCATTTGGAAAGGATACCCTTCTTGGGTCGATCCAATTATAAAATTTAAGAAAATGATATTCTTCTTGGATTGATTTAAGGATCTTGGGCTCACTTTTTCAGATTTTTTTTTCACACTTTTGAGGGTTGCTTCACCCTTTATCCTTTTGACTTTTTGGGTGGATCAATTCCTCCTCTCTCATCCCCATTTTTATTTTTTTTTTCTTGCTTCTTGGTTTGATTTTTTGTGCTTATGTCTGACACATAAGCACTCATATATAGCCTTTTGCTATATATAAAACCATCAAGCAAGGTCGCAAGTAAGTCGGTTTTGTTTTGGGGCTTATGGTGATGATGACAAAGGCATACCGGTGGTAGAGCAGAATGATGTCTCATTCTACAACATCAGGACTCAATCTTGAGGCCTGATGAACTGTAGGATGAAAGTATCATTCACCGACACAAGACTAACGGGGGATCCGTACCTTCTTAGGATTGTTGGCGATCTTACGCCCGATGGCGTGATCGACTCGTGGACAATTATTCCTTTTTCAAAATTGATAAAACAAATTGATAAGAACAGATATAATATTTATAAAAAATATTTTCACTATAAATTTAATATAACTTTCCTTTTGTATGCCTGAAATATATATGCATGCTAAAATATAAATTTTAAAATGAGTTACATTGTATAAAATTTGGTTGTCCACTTGTTGATTACCGATACCGGGCTAAGGAGTGTCTTCCTAAGTTAGGTTCAGTAGGACACCCTTCTAGTGAAGTGGCGGGTTTTATACATTCGGGTGACCGATAGTAGCATTCGACGTCCCTCGAGTTGCCTAGCCCCGGCCCGAGTGCTTGTGGTCCCCTCTTTTCGGACTTTCATATGTTTCCTTGGAATTTTTTGACAAAGCACTTGTGGTCTTTTCTTCGGGATTTTTCCGAGGTTTTGATAGTTTTATTTGAATTGTTACTCGTCAATTTTCTCGATTTTTCCGTTGTGGATTATTTGTCGATTTTCTCGAGTTTTCCAGGCAATGTTTCTTTTGTTTATACAATGAATACTAACTAGTTTAAAGGAGCAGCAGACCTCCCAAATATATAGGTTTGATTTACACTATAACATTTTATTTCACAGCTGCAGTAGGGAGTGTGCGGGATGGCAATGAGGCGGGGAAGGGAGGGAGGTGGCTGGAAATGAGGAAAGTCAGGAATTAAAACAATATCAGCTGTTGTCCTAGGCAGCTGCAGTAGGGAGTGAAGTGGAGGAGGATGTGGAATGGGATAAGGAAAATAATCACTACCTCGGGAAATAAATACAGCCGGAGCATCACTAAAACCTTCAGATACAGCCCTCGGAGAAATAGACACTGACGGTTGTCCTAAACAGAAACACGACAAAAACCCTCTTTTAAACCCTAAAATAAATGTATAGGAAAAGACTAAAAAAAGTGAAGGATAATAAGGCAAAAAGCATAAGAAAGGAGAACGGGATTGTTTCGGCCCATCTTCCACGATAACAATCCTACATCACTTCAGTTGCTACAGTACCAAGTTTCATAATTATCAAGTATAATATGAGAAACAATGTATTTTATGATGAATGCATAAGCCATATTTGAATGAATATGTGGTTTGCGAGATACAAATGTCCTGATAGACTGTGCTTCATGCAGGTAGTTCATGTATTCAGAAGCATTGTTAGAGTAATTGCATCGTATCCTTGGCGAGCTGGAGACCTCTGTTCACCAAATGGGCGCTATAGAGTTAGATTAACGCTAGAAGATCCTACTGCAAGAATTCATGCATATATATATGAAGAAGATGGAGTGAGATGCTTAAACCTGTTTGTTCTTCCTTTCGTTCTAAATTTCTTTCTTTTTTGTTTTTTTTTTATTTTTTTTATTTTTGGCATCTAGAGAGATTCAAATGCAGTTTTCATCAATTTGGCTAAGATGAACATAATTTTCTTTGTTTTGAAAGTGCGTCCGACAATTCTATGTTATGTGGCTGGCTTGTTTTCATTCTTCCTCTCATCCAGTTTTTGACTGCTGGGCGGCTTAGTGGCAGATCATCCATCTAAAAAATGATACCAGAACATAACAAACTTCTTCACCGTCTTTTCCAAACACAAGGCTGTCTTATATAAGGCCAGCCAACCCTTCCAAGGCGCCTCACATATGAAAAATAGAAAGTTAGAAAAAAAGACTTAATTATAATTATGACACTCCTCTCAAACAAAAATAAAAAATGTCAGATCCGGCGACATGAAGTCTATTAAATAGTCTTAAGAAGTTCTTTATTTGGTATATCATATCATATGGTCTTTCAAGGCCCATCATGCCATTTGCCTTCCTGAGACTATCTTCGCTGAATACAATGATTTTTCTCTGTCGAAACAGCCAGATGTATCTGTGACCTGATGAATAAGTGGTCATTTGAAATAGTGAGCTTTATTCTGTATTTGAATGAGAGAATGAGTTTAGTAATCTAAGTTGCTTTGTTGTTTATCAGGAGAACTTTTTTGGTGGATATCCCGCACAGGCTGGCTTGTTTTCATTCTTCCTCTCATCCAGTTTTTGACTGCTGGGCGGCTTAGTAGCAGATCATCCATCTAAAAAATGATACCAGAACATAACAAACTTCTTCACCGTCTTTTCCAAACACAAGGCTGTCTTATATAAGGCCAGCCAACCCTTCTAAGGTGCCTCACAAATGGAAAATAGAAAGAAAAAAAGACTTGACTATAATTATGACACCCCTCTCAAACAAAAATAAAAAATGGCAGATCCGGCGACATGAAGTCTATTAAATAGTCTTAAGAGGTTCACATGAAGTCTATTAAATAGTTTTAAGAGGTTCTTTACTTGGTATATCATATCATATGGTCTTTCAAGGACCATCATGCCATTTGCTTTCCTGAGACTATCTTTGCTGAATACAATGATTTTGCTCTGTCGAAACAGCCAGATCTATCTGTGACCTGATGAATAAGTGGTCATTTGAAATAATGAGCTTTATTCTGTATTTGAATGAGAGAATGTGTTTATTAATCTAAGTTGTTTTGTTGTTTATCAGGAGAACTTTTTTGGTGGATATCCCGCACAGGATGTTTTAACCAGAAAAATGAACATGCTGCTTGGGATGGGAGATGGTGCAGCTGATTGTTCCACTAAAAGGAACCCACCCTGGATTTCGTGCTGTTTGATGTCTTTTTTCATCGACTCCAATAACCCCCTCAAAAGTAGGAGATATCGAATCTTTGGTACGACAATGATTGGGTGACGCAAACTAAACTATGGTTTGCAACTACTCACAAAGAAAGCACTTAGCGTACGGGATGTGACATTTACCATATGGTCTCTCAAGTTTGCTTTTTGGGGTTCATAAGCTTTTGTTGGTTGATTGTGTATTAATGTGTGTGTGTGTGTGTGTGTGTGTGTGTGTGTGTGTGTGTGTGTGTGTGTGTGTGTGTGTGTGTGTGTGTGTGTGTGTGTGTGTGTGTGTGTGTGTGTGTGTGTGTGTGTGTGTGTGTGTGTGTGTGTGTGTGTGTGTATATGTTATCCTTGGTTTTGCTATTTGACTCCGGGGGTTTCTTGTAAACAAATTTGTAATGCGCATCTTCTAATTTTGAATTGGCCAATGAAAAATTGGTCCCTCCCAACTTAGCTTAGTGCCATTGAGCTTTTTCAACTATTCCATATGTAGGCTTAAGTGCCAAATCCCAAAATTTTTATTTAAAAAACTTGGATTAGTATTTCCCTTTAAAAGCATTTGCTTCCATAATTTTTTCATGTTCTTTTTAAAAATCAGCTTTCTGCCATCAAGTTTACTTTCTATTGCCGTTCCTGCAATATCTTCCACTGCCAGATCCTTGATTAGAAATACAGTACTCAATCAGCATTACCAACTCCACATTGCCTCTATGAATGCCTTCCTCCATGATCATTTGATTGATGGTTTAAAAAGGTCTAGCAATCCTTCCTAAAAAGAACCTCTCCATCCATCAGAAAGACAATGGTCGTCGTCTTCCACTTTGTTAGAAAGTTTGCAATGATAGGATATTACAAGATATTGAGTTATTGTATTAAGCTTATAAGAGTTGTTTGTTATTTAATTAAGTGTTAGTGAGATTCTTGTAATTTTATAAATAGTCCCTATTTGAGACATTAAAGAAATAGAAAAGGGGTATTTGCATAGCCACCACTCAAAATATTGAATATTTCATTTTAATCTCCCAAATTTTAAATATAACACTTATGCCGCCCGCAACTTTAAACACAACATTTTAACCACCCAAAATTTTCACTCAAATTTTTCAGAGTGAACAATGGAGGGTGGTTATATTGAAAAGAGCGGTTATCTTGAACCGAGCGGTTAAAATGTTATATTCAAAGGGTACTATTCTCTTCTTCCATGCTCGGTATTATTGGCTTTAGACTATTGTTCCTCATAAATAGGATAATGTTGTCATCCTTAAGACAGGTTTGAACTTTAGCTTGATATTGTTGATATTAGTGATATCAATAGCTTTGAGAAAGTGGAAACATCTTTTTATAAGGTATAGATGTTGGCTTTGGTGTCATTAAAAGGAATTGTAGTTGAGATATATTTCATTCTTATTATAAACTTCACAAAGAAAAAGATAATATGATGGAAGTAGAGAAAACTTTAGAAACCGTAGAAAATTCTAAATGTTTTTGCGTGATGCTGCTGTAGAGCATGGATATATGATGTAGATCCAAAAACTTTTTATATTACTTTAAGGTCCTTTTTTAATGTATGAGTATAATATTACTTTTTGTATGAGTTTAAATTAATATGATGTAGATCCAATAACTTAATGTATGAGTTTTATATTACTTTAATGCATGATGTTGATACTTGATGAACTCTTAATTTTTATGTAAGAATGTTGATTCCTCATAACTTACCCTCTATATATAACATAGTTATTATAAACTTGTTAGAAATCTAATTTGTTATAATTGAGATGAGGGACATGTAATATTGCAACATTAAGGTAATCAACTTAGGATATTTAAAATTTTGAACTTATAATATAAAATAAAATATAACACATTTTAAATTTTAAAATGATTTGGAAAATTTAGATTTTAAAATTTTAGGCTCTTAGGGTTTTTAAATATTATGGAACGGGACTTCTGAAAATTTAAGCTATTAGCTTTTAAAATTTTTGGCTTATTAAAATATAAGTTTTCAATGCTTATAATATTAAAATATAAATTTTAAAATTTCATGTCATAAATCTAAAAATATTTTGAATTTGGGCTATTCAGACTTAGACTCCTAGTGATGAAGCATAATTCAAATATTGAGTTTTTTTAAGACTTACAATTCATTGTCACCGGATTTGCAACAATTCTGCTAGGGAACAAAATACAATTCCTTTTTTAAAAGCCTAAAATCATAGTACTTCGAAATGTTTTAAGCTTCAAGTGACTTAAAATTTTATAAAAATTTTGTGGTTATCTCCTAAGTAGAATGAGATATTTTGAAATGTGAGTCGACTCTTAAGACTTAAATGAGTACCATTTAAGATACTTTTGAGCTATATATGTATTAAGGTGTCTTCTATATAAACAAGTTAAATATGCACATTTTCAAAATATTGCATGTGCTTTTTGATATAAATTTCATATTAAATTTATTGTTTAAAATTTATGCAAGTATGTAAAGCTCATAAAATTCTTCAAGATATTTTAATATATGAAATATAAATGCTCGTATGTGCTCCAATCAATATATAGAACGGTCAAATATTAGGTTGGTGAATGTTATGCAGGCTAATTGGGTTGTCTGGTCTATAGGAAAATGTTGTAAGTCCCACTCTACTAGTCTGATTCTCCTCCTCACAATGACTGAAGTTGACAAGTCTAAAAAATTTGATAAATATTCAAATTTTAAAGATAATAGTTTACAAGATATTGAGTTAATTTTATTAAGCTTATAAGAGTTGTTTGTTATTTAATTAGTGTCAGTGAGATTCTTGTAATTTTAAAAGTAGTGCCTATTTGAGACATTAAAAAGAGGGGTATTTACATGGCCACCACCCAAATTGTAAATATAACACTTAAGCCGCCCAAAACTTTAAATACAACATTTCGGTAACCCAAAATTTCCACTCAAAACTTTCACTACTTAGTAATGGAGGGTGGTTATAATGAAAAGAGGGGTTAAAATGTTATATTTAAAGTTTGGGTGGTTTAAATAAAATATGCAATGTTTTGGGTGGCTGCTATGTACAAAACCTCTCTTTATTATGTTTTCTTTTTCGCCCTCTTCTCATAAATATAAATTTTCAAAGCTTATAATATTAAGATTTGAATTTTAAAATTTCAGCTCACAAATCTAAAAATATTTTGAATTTGAACTATTCGTACTTAGGCTCCTAAGGATTCAAATATTGAGCTTTTTTAAAACTTAGAATTCATCGCTACCGGATTCCCAACATTTTTGCTAGCGAGCAAAAGACAGCTCATTTTTTAAAAGCTTAAAATCATAATACTTTTGAAATATTTTAAGCTTCCAATGACTTCAAATTTTATAAAAAATTTGTGGTTATCTCCTAAGTTGAATGAAATATTTTGAAATGTGAGTCGACTCTTAAAACTTAGATGAGTACCATTCAAGATACTGTTGAGCTATATATGTATTAAAGTGTCTATATAAACAAGTTAAATATGCACATTTCATTTAAATATTGCATGTGCTTCTTGATATAAATTTCATATTAAATTTATGGTTTAAAATTTTATGCAAGTATGTAAAGTTCCTTAAATTCTTTAAGCTATTTTAATATATGAAATATAAATGTCTGTACGTGCTCCAACCAATACATCGAATGCTCGAATATTAGGCTGGAGAATGTTGTTAGGGATCATTGGGTCGCCTTGTCTTTAGGGAAGAGTTGTGAGTCTCACCCTGCTAGTTTGATTCTCCTCCTCGCAAGGACTGAAGTTGACAAGTCTAAAAAATTTGATAGATGTTCAAATCCTAAAGGTAATAGTTTACAATCCAAATCAGCGATGAAGTTTCAGTTTCAGTTTCAGCAAATGATGGTAAATTAGATGCTTATAGGGAGCTGAGGAGGCCAAAAAAGTTGGATAAGAATGTAGCAGAGAAAAGCATGGAGGCTGATGATCTGATTTATAGGTTGGCGCACAAAGGATGATTTCATATCCTGCATTGAAACGAAGAATCAATTGCTTGGCCATTCAGAGAATGATCAGTCTGTGATGAAAGAAGAAGGAATTTGAAAGTGTTGTAGATTTATCTGTTGCTCTGCCAAAGCCATGCACAGTTGTTCGTGTCAATCAAGCCAAGATCTCTGGAATCGATGCTCGAATTTATTCTGCATCTCAGTTAGCAGAACTATGATAGACGTTACAATTTGTACTCTGAAACCCGTATAATGCTATTTGTATAACACGAAGCATTTTGAGCATATGTTTGATAACTAATTTTGTTCTGCACCCTTGTTAGCAAATCTAGAGAGGAGACTCCCATAAAACTCTAATGCATTTTTGATGTATGTTTATAACATTAAGTCATAAATATAAATATCAAATTTTGTTTGGATATGAAAACGCATAAGAATCGTGTTGTACGTTCCTACATTTTTCAAAAATTTTGTGTAAAATTTTTAAGATTTGAGAACATGTGTGCACGTTAATTTTAATCTTGGCATAAAAAGTGTCAAAAATAAAATATCCTTAAAAATTATATATATATATATATATATATCATTTTTAACAAATAAAATAAAATTATTTATTTATTTATTTATTTTTTTGTGCGTTTAAATATGAAAGATAATTTCTTCCAAGCTGGTAAACACTTTGTCAGATGTGGGAGTTAGCACGCAATTGACACCAGCTTTTCATTGTCAATATAGTTACTTCTTTCATTTGGCCTCTGCCACAAATAGACAATAACGTTACGTTTGCGGGAGAATTTTTTAGTCAAATTATTTGACTTGTAAATGCGCTAAATTCTGGAATCAATAATTTGATTTTAGCATAAGATATCTTTGGGCAAGCTATCAAAAACAGGTAAACGAATGTGACGTTTATGTTATCTTAATTATTATGTTAGAAAAAAAAGCACAGTCAGTCATGCCACCTTTCAGCAGCTTTATAAAAAATTATAATCTTAAATTTGTCCAGATCCTCACATTTGCCCTGTAATAACAATTAATCTTTGTAACATCTTAAACATTATCAGCACTAGAGCTCCAACCTCTTCCTTCTCTGATGCTGCCATTTATTCTCCTCCTATGCGTCGGCCAATGGTCTCTTCTTCTCTCTGCTGCGTTCAACGTGTCTCATCTTCCGGGCTTCTTGCACGAGGGGGGCTCTCTACCTTTCCATTTAGAAACTGGGTAACTTCTTTCTTTTTGATTTTACTAACTTTAATAAGTCTGACTGACTGATTGTGTATGTGTCTGTAGCTATGTAGAAGTGGATGAATTTCTTGGCGTGGAGCTATTCTATTATTTCATACAGTCGGAGAGGAATCCGAGAGAAGATCCAATTCTCTTATGGCTTACAGGCGGACCAGGCTGCTCTGCTTTCAGTGGCCTTGCTCTTGAGATCGGTCTGCTCTCTTCTTTTTCTTCTTCTTCTTCTTCATTAATGTCATTTTGTCTGACTTGATTCAATATACGAAGGCCCGATAAAAATCAGATCAGAAGAATACAACGGGAGCTTGCCGAATTTAGTTTATAATCCTTACTCTTGGACTAAGGTGAGCTCTCTGTAACAATTTATACGATTTGATTTCGATTGCCTATTTATTTTTATAAATCTCTGTGCGTGATTCTTCATTTTATTTTTAAATTTGTAGATTTCCAACATAATTTTTTTGGATTCACCAGTCGGAACTGGATTCTCTTTCTCCAACCATCCACATGGGTATGAAACTGGTGATAAATCTTGGTCAAAACATGCTACAATATTTCTCAGGAAGGTTGCTAAATAAATTAAATCACACTATCAATTTATGTATGTTATTATTATTACTATTATGGAAGATTTAACTCTCCCTTCTTTTATTTGTAGTGGTTTGTGGATCACCAGCAGTTCCTTGCAAACCCTCTGTATATTGCTGGGGATTCCTATGCAGGAAAGGTTGTGCCTGTGATAGTATATGAAATTTTAAACGGTAATAAAAAAAAATCTGATTCATCAAATTTCTCTTTTTTTTTTATAATTACATTGCTGATTACTTGAATCATTTTGAGCTGCAGAAAATGAGCTCAAAGTGCAGCCAACACTTAATATTCAGGTCATCCTTGCACTCTGATGAGCAGTGTAACTTTTTCAAGCAAACATAGAGATTAGTTCCCTTCGATTCCAATAAGAATTTGCCCAATTAAATAGTGGTAATCTGCAGGGTTATATGGTTGGTAATCCATCAACAGGTGAGGTGATTGATTTTAATGCTCGAGTACCATTTGCCTTTGGAATGGGATTAATTTCAGAAGAACTATATCAGGTCATATCTTATTTACTCTCATCTCTTTGGCAAGAAAGCCATGAGATTTCATTCCATTTGAGTTCAAAATTTGTAGTAATATAGGATGCTAACAGATTACAGTAGCAAGAAATTGCATATATGTACATAAGCTTCTGAAACTTGATTGCGTTTCAGGGAATTGGTGCAGGGAATTGGTGAGAAAGGGAATTGGTGAGAAATGCAAAGGTGAAGACTACGAGAGTCCGAAGAAAGCTGTATGTGCTTCACTTACTCAAATCTTTAACGAGGTAAGTATCCATGCATGCATCTCTCTCTCTCTCACTTCTTCAAGTCATTGTATATGAGTTGTTGTTAATATTCTTTTTATATTGCATCTTAATAATTTGGGTGCTGAATAATTCATAAATTTACAATAAAATGCTTATGAAAATGAATATGCAGTTCGAGTCAGAGCTTATGACATCAGAAATTTTGGAGCCCAAATGCAGTTTGGCTGCACCCAACCCGAAAAACACAGTTGTTGGTACAGGAAGGTCTACTCTTCAGGAGAGCAACAAGCACTTTCTGGGCCCCCAATTCCTGAAGTCAAGTGCAGAGTAATTATTTTTCCTTATTTATTTAATTCTCTATAAATTATTAAAGAATTTTTTACTCCTTTTAGTGGTATTTCCAAAATATTAATCAGCGTCATAAATTAATGTGTTTTAAACCAATGACTTGTACCTATTTCTGCAGACATACGCTTATTATCTCATGTTGAACCTATTGCTGCAGACATACGCTTATTATCTCATGTATATATGGCCTATTTCTGCAGACATACGCTTATTATCTCATGTATATATGGGCGAACAACGCAGAAGTTCAAGATGCTCTCAATGTTAAGAAGGTAATCTCACTCTTAAATTTATTAATATAAAAATATGAAATACTCATGCATATATATATCAAAATAATCTTTTTTTTATTTTTTTTTTGTCATACTTAAGCTACTAATCAATGATGGAAACAGGGAAAAGTGAAGGAGTGGCTGAGATGCAGTGATCACTTGAAATATAGAGAGGATATAAGCAGCAACCTCAAGTATCATGTTAATGTCACAACCAGAGGCTATCGTGCATTGGTTTACAGGTGAAAGCCACATACATAATTAGCACAGAAAACTTCATTCATTCATTCAAGCCGCTCTCTCTCTCTCTCACATATAAGTTGTTTCCTTGGGCACGTACAGTGGTGATCATGACATGCTTGTCCCCATGATGGGCACGAAGCAGTGGATTAAATCACTCAAATTCTTTGTCACCGAGCGGTGGAGATCCTGGCATGTGAGCGGCCAAGTTGCTGGGTAATTAAGCTCTTAATTACTTCCTCGTTAATTATGAAAAAGATATTCTCTTTACAAAAAATGATAATTACATTTATAACAACGTATAATGATGATGTTTCATTTTATCTCCTTCTGGTTCCATATATAGATACACGGAATCCTACTCCAATAATCTGACCTTTGCGACGGTTAAGGTGAAGCATTTTAGATTTAATGCTCCACCGGTTAATTAATTGTAATTAATAAGTTTTAAAAGTTAATTAGTTTGCTGCGTGTTGTAGGGCGCCGGACACACAGCTCCGGAATATAAGGGCGAGCAATGTTTAGCCATGCTTGGAAGGTGGATTTCTAGGATGCCGCTATGATGTCTGGTGCTGCACAGTTTATGAAACATTTAGAGTAGCATAAATCCATTGTTGTCATTGTACTAAAAAATATAGTTATTATCCGCTGAATGTTGATATATATACAATGTTATAATTATTGCATGGCATGTTGTAATAGCTAGGGCTGTCAAAAAAGCCCGTTATTCACGAACAACTCATGTTCGTCTCGTTAAGTAGCTCCTGTTCGGCTCGTTCGTTAAGTAAACGAGCCGAACACGAACATGTTTTTAAAGCTCGAATTATAAACGAGCCGAACACGAATAAATGTTTCATAAACGAGTAGTTACATTTGTTCACTCGTGTTTTGCTCGTTTTAACTCGAAATAAAAATTTATATAATTATTTATATTATAATATATTATATATATTTATATTTAAGTTTAAAATGTAACTACTCGTGTGGTAATGTGGTTATGCACCTTCTTTTGCATACATTTGGTCCAGGTTCGATTCCAGTACTCTACATTTTTTTTTTTTCAGTTTAATGTTAACGAGTCAATTTCGAGTCAAACACGAGTCGAACACGAATACAAATATTTAAATCGAGCTGAACACAAACACACTGTTCACAAGTCGGTTTCGAACACAAGCCAATTTCGAACAAGAATAATTTTGAACGAGTCGAACATGAGCCCAGCTTGAGTTCGCTCAAGCTTGGCTCGTTAACAGCCCTAGTAATAGCTTAGGTTTGTTTGTATGCTTATCACATTCAATCCTAATTTTATTTAAATCTTTAGGTTAGGTAGAGCATCACTTGTGTTATTAGTCTCTTTCTCTATATATATATTGGTAGGAAGCGCAATCGCCTTGTGTCTCACATACATTGGCGTGAGAGGGCAGTTAAGGAACAAGAACTCAACTAGAAACGAGCATAAATATTTAATTTTTTAGATATAAAAAAAATATACCATTAATTAGAACCATTTGATATTATTTATAGACGTTGGTGATAAATAAATTAATTAATTAAATCCAGACTGTTAGTACACTTATCCACAATTTTGAGTGCATTGTGAGTACATTGATCAATTTTCCAAATTTATGGAAGATGGATTACAAAATTGATACATAGTGGTAGTTCGGCAATAATAGTTATAATAAACAGTTAAGGCTATAGTCGATGGCTATGAATGCAATAGCCCATCATGAATTTTATAGATAATGATTGTAGTATCAGCTTATCATAAAGACCACAGTTGAATGTGTGGCAGTTGTTAACTGTGTGGGTCATAGATGGTTGTTTCAGGAGCGTCAATTGGCCATAGAAATTGTAATTGGGAGTTGTGGAAGTCGTGAGCCATGCAGGTCATAGTTGGTCACGTAGATTGTAGTGGTGCTACAAGCAAACAAATCCACCCGTCGTGTGCTGCCAAATCAAGCTTCCTTACCAAACCCTCTGCTTGTCAGCAATTGCTACTGTGCTTGCCAAATCCAGCCAAATCTTGCCCAAATATAGGCTTCCGCTTTCTAGCACACTTGTCAGGACCTGTCAACTCTAGCCAAATTCAGGCTTTGCAAGTCCACAAGTGTGCAGCCGTTCTCCTATGCATGTGAGTGTACTTGCACGCACATGCACACACACCCGCACAACTGTGCACCTGTGCTCTCACGCTCACAATTGGGTGTAATTCCCCCATCCATCCATGTCTGAACCCCCGTGTGTGTGTGTACCTGTGTGCCCTTGCCACTAAATTTAGCCCAATGCCAATTTTTTTTACTTCTTGCCCCCTCTACTTGCATTCGCATGTGATAATAACAAATTCTTTATTACTTATTATAAATGGGTTCAATATTTTATATTAATTACTTTATCATCAAAATGACGTGTCACACTTTCATTACACAAAGAAATGAGGTGGCACAAGGAGAGGGAGTCACCTGAATGATTTTTGCATGCTTAACATAAGAAAAATAGGCCTCATTCAGTTGGGTAGAGGGCTTGGAGGTTGCATGAAGATAGAAGAGAGCTAGGAAAACAAAGAGGGCTTTGAGAGAAAAAAGGGAGAGTTATCTTCTTATTTTTCCTCTTCCTCTTCTTCTTCTTCTTCTTCTTCTACTTCATCCATGAATCCTCTCATTCTCTCCAACAAATCTAAAAGAGAACCATCAATCCTCTCATTCTCTCCAACAAATCTAAAAGAGAACTTGAGGGTGAGTTTTTTGGAGTCTTCATCCATACATCCAAAGAGGAGAACTTCTTCCACACTTAGAGGAATGCTTTCAGCAACCTTTTCAACTCTCCTACAATAAGGAGAGCATCATCTCCCTTCCATCGGAGAAGGAATTTGAAGATTAGAATCTCAAAACTACTTCAACTCTCCTTCAGTGAGCAGAGCTTCATCCATTCGAGGTGACATAGGAGCGGGTTTCGCAGAAGCAAAGAGAATGTGTCTTCAACCTCCACGTCAATGAGATATTCTAAAACCCTTACCCTCAGGTTGGATGCTAGAGGGAAGCCTTTAAGGTTAGGAGCTTTTGTGGACAATCCCCAATGAATTTTGAGCATCTTCTTTTTAAACTTATAGCACCAATAACCTACCATTTCTGGGACATGAAATTTCTCCGGTGACTATTTGACTGCCTCAACCCTTGATGAATGGGTTTGAGACCATTTTGAGAGCTATGTTCATGAGAAGAGCTTTCACTTTGTGAAAACAAACTCTCACAAAAAAAGCTTTCACTTTATACTGATTAGTTTGGAAGGTAGGCCCTCCGTTCCTGAGCAACAAACTTGTTACTATGATTTTATCATGTCGTCCCTTGGATCTTATGCAAGTATGATAGGATGAGTGTGGTTTTCTATTGTGCACATTTATTGCACTGCATTGCATGTTTCATTATAATGTGTTTTGGATGAAGCATAACACATGTGTCATTTTAGGATCATCGGACTGTCACTGCTTATTCAATGTACCATTTGGTGTCAACTGGAAGCTCCGACTCAGAAGACTGGGCACATTGGCTCGACAACTACTCCAGCTTGGTTAGCTTTGCACATTGGTTCAACCAACCACCATGGCACAATCAACCTTGCACATTACTTCAATCGGCTGACCCGACAAGGTCAACCTTCCATATCGGTTTAATGATCCACCTCAGCACGATCAATATCACATTATTGCCCAACCAATTTCCACTAATCCAATCAGTTGGTCGATATTTGCATCTGAATCTTTCATTTGAATATTACATCATGGAATGCTCATTTTTTCTTGTGTTGAATTGATTGCACCAACACATCCACATCCAACACACTTGTTGTGCATCTCATGAACACGTGTCCCTATATTTTCATGGCTAGTAGTCATGCTTCCTTCAAGCATGATACTTAACGTATCAGCCCATGACATCATCATGTCATGTACACATCAAATCCTTCCATGCATGCACTTGCACTTGCATGGCATTACTGCATGACTTTTCATTGCATATTTGAATTATATTTGAATGCTTGTTCTTACAATGCTTAAAATATTATGGAAATTCCGCACGTCATTCAACCTTAGGCTCCTTGGGAGGTGGATGCCACATGTAACACTCCAACTTAACCTCCCAAACTCCACATAGCTAATGAGAAAGCAACCTAGAAACATGGAAGAAATGATCAAAAATTTTGGTTGGACAAGCTGTTGGCTTGGCTTGACCATGCCCGAAAATGGCGATCACGTCAGAAAAAAGGACTCGAATCCAATTTTTTTTCTAAAAGCCCGGCATGACCACGCCCGAAACTAGAGTGTTCATGCCAACGTCCTGGCATAGCTACGCCACATTAGCAATGTAATTATGTTATGCTCTCTGTCTTAAGCATGATTTAGGTCTTTTCTAAAAGCCCGGCATGACCACGCCCGGAACTAGAGTGTTCATGCCAACGTCCCTGGCATAGCTACGCCACATTAGCAATGTAATTACGTTATGCTCTCTGTCTTAAGCATGATTTAGGTCTTTTTGTTGTAATCAAGCCATAACTAGCAGGGGTCACACCATTTCAAATTCTTAGCTTCAAGCCCTGAGTGCGCAACAGAGGTTCTAGACAAGTTCCCTTGGCTCAGAAGATCCTAAACAAATGGGAAATGATCCCTAATTATCATAGAAGGCCTACGAATGTGTCATAACACCAGAATAACACTCTAAATGGTTGTCATCTCCACAAGATGCAAAGTAATCTGAAACCCTAATTCTCACCCAGTAGTGCCCGTGGGTAGACTTTTTGGCTCTGGTTGGTTAGAGACGGGTCCAAATCAATGGGATAAGGTCTAAAAATATTGAGACAAGTGTCAAACATGTTCTGAGTCAGAACAAACCCCATCCCCATGGTGAGTATTACCCGAGTAGGGCAAAATCAGTACTGGTCCTGAGTTCATGTTGATGCCACGTGCTAGGAAGTCTGGTAGAATGTCTTAGATGATAAGAAGCTAGGCAAAGTTTGTTATCCTCAGACGGACATCCCGCTCATGTGACATAAGAAATTGATGTCAACAGGGAGTTACATTGTACTTGGGGTGCATTGTTAAAGCATCTTTGAGGTGTGTTATTGAACCGTTTGTTACTTCGTTATTTATAATGTATGCTAAGGTTTCACAAGTTGTAATTTTGCAGAGAGCTTCATTGCAAGGAGCATATGGCTATTTGGGTTTCAAAAAAATTATAATCAAATTGTATGGCTCAAAGAGATAAGCTCGGTGTCACCAAATTTGGCTTAATCTGAGTCAAATCAAGCCCAGATCAAATCATTAAAATACTTTTGAAAGCTTTGAGTAATTAATTGGAAGGACAAATGGATTCAAAATATGACAAACTTATAATCAAATCAAGTTTCTCGATAATATGAGTCCAACGAGTCCAATATCACTTAATTTTAATATTGTCATGACATTTAAATGTTCACAAAATGTCACATAAATGTGAGAATCTCACTGAGTTGTCTGATAGAATGATCCATAATCCTTACTTATTATTATGAAGGAACTCCCAAACTATATAAATAAATCCTTACCCCCTTCATGAGGGGGGGAGGGGGGGGTTGTGGACTTTAGACCACGAGGAGAGACCTGGAGCTAGAGCTAGATTAGAAGAAGTTGAATTATAGCATTATTGCTGACAGAAGGCCTGAAGAACACTCCCTGCTCTTGCAACTGTCAACCACCATCGATCACTGTTAGTCAACAACTGTCGATGAATCATATCGTGTGATGATACACACAATATATGATGTAACAATACATCCCGAAAGATTATATAATTACATCACATCACAAAAGATTGTGTAATGACACACCCCAACGATAGTGCAATAGCACATCCCAATGATGGTTTAAAAACACACCTCAAATATGGGGCAATGATGCACACTGAGTATAGTGAAGATGATGTAACTCTCGTAATAACTTCTTACAACTATCTTAGTCATGATATAGTGATCTTCTCCGAACTCCAGAACTTCTCTCTACACAAGTCCACATTATTGCCTATGACTTGTGGCTCACTAAAACTTAAGGTACGAACTTGGTGTACAACTGACGCTGCTACAACCCCCACCACTGACCATGTAACCAATTATGATTTACATGGCTCATAGCTTATGCTACTCCAAACTTTAGCCTCTACAACCTACCGATGTTATTACAACTTACTATAACGAACAATGTGATCAACTACGATCCACATGGTTCACAACTTATGCATCTCCCAACTTCTGCCTTTATTGTCTATGGAAGTTATTGTAGCTCGCCACCATGAACTACAAGACCAACTGTGGTCAACATAGTTCACAGCTCACGCGACTCCCAACTTCAGCCTCTATAACCTACAAATGTTATTGCAACTAGCCACTATGACTAAGGTGACCAACTATGACCTACATGACCCACAACTTATGTAGCTCCCAAATTCAACCTCTATGGATTACAAATATTATTGCAACTCCAATGTGACCGACTACGACCTACGTGACTCACATCTCATGCAACCCCCCAACGCCGACCTTTATAGCCTACATAAATTATTGCATCTCACTACCATGACATACGTAACTAACTACTCCATGAATTTCAACTATAAATATGACAAGTTGTGCTATATTCACTATCTACAATATTTATGACGAACTGCTGCCTTTAGAGCAATCGATTACAATCTTTATGACCCGTTACGACTATTATGATTGATTTATTTATGTACTTACAATTCCTTTATGAATTACTTTGACTGGGTCAGATCGCATATTTTTTTCTCCGTCATGGGTTTCCCATGTAAAAGTGATGACTTCTCTTTCTGTTGCTTTTTTTTTTATAGTTGTGTGTGTGTGTTGGATCTCGTACTACACTTAGATGTTCATTTATTACTTTATCGCTACGGATCTTCCATCAAACGTTAGATATAACAAACATCTCTAACAAAATATAAAGAACAATCTAAGATATAACAAAATAAGCATAAATTCAAGAGATAATACAACATCTCTATTAAGTCATTCACAAAAAAAGATCCCTACTAAACTATATCATAGTAGGTATAGTTTGAAGAAGATTTTATATTAATTCCTTGTTGATATCTAACATTATTTATAAAAAAGCTAAATTTGATTTATATTGGAACCACATTTCATACGAGATAAGAGTCGCCGTAAATTAATATAACTTGCATATAAAAAGTGAACATAGAAGCTCTTGATTATTACTATGACTCAAATCATTCTCATCAAGCAAGAAATGATAGATAGCTAATTGGGATAAGTTATTATGAAAGGCTGACCTTTGTACCAACCTCCCGCAGCATAATGTTTCTTTATATGTCTAATAGAGTATATATATATATATATATATAATGCAAGAAGTTCAGAAAAGATAAAAGAAAAATATGTATATAATTCAAAAGATATTTGAATAATGAAGATGATCTGCAATTTTTGAGAATTATGAGGCACTTAAAATCAAAGCCTTCTGCATTGTTAATTTGACATTATTAAATTAATAATAGTAAAGTTCTCAAAATTCTAAAAAAAAAAAAATTACATGCATATCGCACCATTCTTACTTATGCATGTGCGGATCTCACATTTCTAATTTAATATTTACACTTATAACATATTGCTATTAAAATTATATACACTCATATTTATTTCACTTTTAAAAGATTAGTGATAGCAATATATTTTTTTTTGTGAATTAAAACATTTAAGTGTTTCGTATATTAATGTAAATATTTAGAGGTTAGATGTGTAAAATATATATCGTATACTATATGTATGTAAATGCGCCAGCTAAAAGCAGGATAAAAAATTACAAAATCACCCTCGCTACCTCTCCGTGAAATTTGCAAACCTTTCTTCGCTACTTCATTTTGAGTCACACTCCGGTAAAAAAGTTGTTTTTCCTGGTTTTTCTATTCGATCACGAGCAATCTCTCTCTCTCTCTCTCTCTCTCTCTCTCACACACACACACACACACACTGGGTGATGAGGGCTTCCTGTTTGCTTCAACGAAGGAAGCATCTATTTCCCCTTGCCCGCTCTCTCCTCTTCCTCGGCGCTGTTACCACCGCAGCTCTCCTCCTTTTGATTTCTACTTCCTCCGTTGACCGCTCCACTGACCTACCCGTGCGTTCTAATGCCGATCTGCGCCTTGTGGACTTGGAGTTGTCTGCCGATCCGCGCCTCGGCAAGCCAGGGGAGCGACCGAGGAGGGTGGAGGTGAATGACGCTCAAGGTGAAGTGGCCAAGCGAGAGGAGAATACGATGGAGTCGGTCGAAAGATCGCGCGGTGGAGCCTCTTGTGCCACCGTAGAAGAGATGGGAGAGACATTTGCAGCAGGATCTCAGAAAGAAAGCCTCAAGATCAGGGATTTGATCCATCGTCATTTCTCTCTCCACGGTAAATTGCCGTTCAAGCTCCTGGTATGGCTAGACCTAGCTTATTGCTGTGTTTCTTTAGGTATCGAAGGAATGCTTTTAAATAAAAGATCCCGGGCTTCTCATTAAGTCCCATTTGGTTGCTTCAAGCTACAACATATGTTTTAGAATACAAGCGAATTACTAATTTCTCTTTTAAATTGGGTGCAATTAGGAATTAACATCGACTTTGAGCTCCAGAAAGCCTCCTCAAAATCTCTTAGATTTTGTTGAATCCGGATAGGATGTAGGGTTATCCTTGGGTACATAAAGCTTGGCCGAAGGCCGGTAATGTATGAAGTGTACTGTAAAGAGAGAGTGAGATGGAAGAAACCATGGTCACAAAGTTTTTCAGAGGAAGAACTAGAGAGAGAGAGACAGAGAACTCTCCGGGAAAAGGCCTGGAGTCCCCAGGAAGTAAAATGAGGGGGGAAGAAAGTAGAGAGAGAGATCCAGAGAGTCCCATTTCTGTTTTTTCCTGTTGGATCTTTTATATATGAGATATAATAATATAACATTGTCAAAGCAGGACATCAAGGATTATATTGTTGATTTCTCTCTGACCGGTGTCTTAACTAGAAGCTATTGTCGAGTAATGTAAGATATTGCGATCCACAATATTTGGGTGATGGGACCGAATCCCTAGTGTCGCGAGATATTCTTAAATGAGATATGGACAGATGTCCTACTTAGTCATGGTGACTTCCTCGAATTATTATCTTTGTAGAGATAAATTTAAATTGACCTCTTGAGGAAGTTGGAAATGAGCTAGATCAGCCTCTTCGGCGTGTGGGTTTGATTCAGTCACTTTGAAAGGCGAGCACAATTTTATTACATAAAAATTAATTAAAAATTTATGTATACCAATATTTGTGTGTACGGATGTAATATTTTTGTATTCATAAACAAAATGAATGAAAATGATATCATTTTTATAAATTTTTTTATTTAGACCCACCCAAATGAGTCCTAAGAAAAAACTTTTTTGGATTTTTTGCCTTCATAGTTCATTGATTCAGAGTTGAACAACTCATGACAATGGATTTGTTGAATTACTTTGATAGAAATCTTGTCCTCATCGCTAGCAACTCTAGTATGTCAAAACTCAGGAGAGAGAAGAAGGAAATGGGCAGATACTTGGTGAAATTCCAGCTCCACCACACAACCAACTTCCCACCTTATTTATCTTATTATTTAGCATGCAAACCTCCCTTTTACAATGCACATTTACAAGAACCAACAATTCTCATCAGCTCACTAAATAACTAATATAGAATATAAAAACTTGATTCAATTCTATGAGTAAATTGTTATCATTTGGGGGAGAAGTCTTCCATTCAGCTAGGAAACATATGCGTTCCAACGTGCTGCAATTTCGTTTACAGCATCACTCCCCATACCCATACAAATTTTTTTCTAATACTGAATTCAGGATCAGACAACTATGCGCCATTCAGGATAGTCAACTTTGGATGGTACCATTTTAACACAGGCAGAGAGACTGATATTTCTGTGAAGGGCGCTTGCTCCTCATTTTTTACATTTTAAATGGACAATTTGGATTTACTAATATGACTAAGTTTATCTTCTCGTCACGATAAAGACAACGTCTTTCAGATATTCTTCTTATAATTATGCTGTTTTTCATTGTTGAATTGAAAGAGTTGGTTTTGCTTTTCACATATGGGCACTGACAGATAGGCCGGAGTCGAAATCAAAGTTGTTAACGATGTTGGATAACTCGATATGGGCAATTGTGATGACAATATCGAAGAATTAATATATGCAATTCTATCTTTCCTTAACTTTGTTGATTGAAAAACTTGTAATAGGGACTACCGTTGTTACAAATGAACTTACCTTATTTGTGCTCAAAGTTGCTCATAAACTTGGTTCTCTCTTGCTTGCAACCGTTTGCAATGCTCCTTGCTCTCAGCCCCCTCACTTACAATGTATCTCGCTTGCAAAACTACACGCTCACAGTCACGAACAATTTGCTTGCAATCCTCTCTCTATATCAACTTTAAATCCTAATCTAAATAATTTAAACATGAATATGTTATAAACTGTATTAGGTGTATTATTATGTCAAATAACAAAATATTTTTTTAATTCTCATTATATTATAATTTAAGGAATTTGCCTCAAATGCCTTGATATAAAAAAAAAAGCCTCACTCAAACCATCAAGGCTAAATATGCCATAAGACATTAAGATTTTGTATTAAATTATATGATGTTTCTTTTAGCTTTTTTACTTCTATTTTTTAGTTTGGAACTTGAAAAAATGATATCAAAATCTTGGTCTTACTTTTCAAAATTTTTGCACCTTAACATTTAGTGTCTTCTGATAACTCGTATTTTATTTTTGGTTGCCATACAAAGGATGTTATAAATTCTTTTGGGTTTTGACCTTTCATTTTATGTTGGGTTAAAATGATTTTTCAATCCCAATTGGAGGAATAAATTTAGCATTCATATGGTTGCCAAAATGGTGAACATTTTATCTATATACGAATATGCCATGACCATTAAATATGACGAATGAGATAAATATTTAGTGTTCCATAGCTTTCCTTAATTATCCATAGTTATACATATAAAAAATGTCCTAGACCATTATATGTTTGAGAAATGATTTTATCATTTCATATGATAGATCAAACTGCTAAATGTTTTATCTACACATTTGCTATAACCATTACATACCATGATTGAGATAAATTAGATTGTGTTCCATAAATAAATAGCTTAAAATTTAGCTGCAAATTGAAACATGCAATTAAAGGAAACATTGTGCGGATTTTGGGGACATGTACTTGATTTTTATCTAGTGAAACATTTGATTTGTTTATTAACTTGCCAGGAGCAGCTAGAGTTCGTGGCTTACCCCCAGATCAGTTTTGTCAAAGAGGTTTCGTTCTAGGAAAAGCATCAGAAGCTGGTTTTGGGAATGAAATGTACAAGATTTTATCTGCAGCAGCACTGAGTGTTATGCTAAACCGATCTTTGATCATTGGTCAAACCAGGCATATCAATTCTCTTAATATTCTATTTATCCCAAATGCTCACTCTACTGTTTCCACACCGTGCTCTTTGCATCAATTATTATTTAAAGCTATGATTCAAGTTTACTGAACTTATTATGGATCAATGTAAAAATCAGGGTTTATTTTTTATTTTGTTATAGAAATGTTTTGCTTTCTTAGTTTTTCAATTGTTGTTTGCATCATTACAAGACTTACATGATCTCTAGAGAATTAAGAGAAGAATTCAGTCTTAGTAGAAACTTTTCTTTTTTTTTCTTTCCAGGGGCTTTTATCCTTTTGGAGATTTTATTTCTTATACAAACCATTCATTTACTCTGAAAGAAGTGAAGCATCTTTGGAGAAAGCATGATTGTGCTGGAAAGTATGGAAGGAAATTGTTGATCAGAATTGACAATTTTGAGCGTCCAACAGAAACAAACGTTCTCTGCAGCGATTGGAGGATTTGGAAACAGCCTATCATATGGTAAGTTCAATTAACTATCCTAATTTAAATAGAATATATTCTGTGCAAATGCTCATGAACATACATTCATGGAAACAAAAAATATAATAAAATTTATCAAACATTTACTAAATTAGCCAATTAATTTTTTTACAAAAGCAATTCAAACATAAATAAAATAACTTATATTGTTTAAATTCAAATAATAATTGTTGTTTAACTTAATATGCTTTTACAGATAGTACCATTCAAAAAAATAGTTTTTTTATGGTGTTTTTGCTATACATCCCATTAAAAAAAATCCTTAAAGTTGATCCATAGGGGCCCCACAAATTTTAAATTATTTTTTTATTAAAATTTTATTTTTTTGAACAACTTTATTTATAATTATATCGCATTGTTTTGTTTTTTTATATTATAAGTTGTGTTCGATATACAATTCACATAATTGCTTAACGTGACAAAAGTCAATATTATCTAATATTATAAGTATACTTCTTAAGTTTCTAAAATGACTAACATGGTTATTTGTTAAAAAAATAACTAATTATTTAATTTTTTTATATTTTTAGTTATTTTATAAACTAACATGGTTATTTGTTAAAAAAAAAACTAATTATTTAATTTTTTTATATTTTTAGTTATTTTCTTTATAAATGTGCTTTTTTTCATAATAAATTATTTTATTTACTATGTAAATTGACTTTATCAAAATTATTTGCTTCTATTTCTTATTGTTATATTAAGACAAAATGATCGATAAATTATAGAGCCGCTTTACATTTTGGAAAGCAGTTCAAATTATGTTTGGGAGCCCGCTTTTTTATGTGTTTTTTAAAAGCTCGATCTTAAAATGAGGTTTTGCTAATAGCAGAGTGAAGCTGGGTTTTGCAGAACGGTTCTTTGACGACATGGGTAAATAAATGCGTTGGCCTTCAACTTTTCCATGAATTCCCTATTTCGTATGTGATAATACCCTCAGTTTGCACTTCTCCTTGTTCTTCGTTTCGAGCACCGTGTTGATAGAAAATATACCAAACAATCCCCAACTTTACCACGGCTTAAGATCAATTAGAAACTAGACCACACCGCAGAATAATAAGATCGTACCAATTCGAGAAAACCGGAACAAAAATTAAACAGAAAACACAATCAAAACAATAAGAAAAACACACGAGAATTTAACGTGGAAAAACCCAAGATGGAAAAAAGCATGGAGCCACATCACCAATAAATTTCACTATCAAATTCAAAAGAGTTTACAAAGAACTCACACAAGTTTTCTATCCACACATAAAGAAAATTTGCAGGACTTGCTTTAATCCGACGCAAGCATCACGTCTAATCACTGAAATCCACATCTTCGACGCTTTTTGTCTTCATCGAGATGCTTGTCGAAGAATACAGAAGGAAGAAACACCATAAACTTTCGAAACCTGCACGGGATGGGATTAAAAACTGAAATCTCGAGACAAATTGCTCCTGAGCGCTTAAGCGCTAAGCTATCGGGAAGCAAAAAAAAGCGCCTAGCAAAGCATGCGCTTGAGCGCCTAAGGCCGGTGCAAAAGCTTTGAATTCTCTATTTGCGCCTAAACATGGGCTCAAAAGTGCTTCCTTCATAAGCAATGCCCAACAATGGGTGCTTAGGCGCCCAGACCCGCTGCTTAGGTGTCTGGTTCTTGGGTGCTTATGACTCCACAAACACAACAATCTCCCACTTTGAGATAATAGCGCCAACACCAGTCCTCTGTACATGCACCTCCATATGAATCAATTTCATAGTCACATATCATGGTGTAGCTCACCCCCAGTTTCAACATTCATGAAACTCAAATGAAACCAAGCATAGCTTAAGTTTCTCAATAGTCAACATCTTCGTCAACATATCCGCAAGATTCTGAGCTATATGCATCTTCTCTAGGAACAACTGCCCATCTTCAAGAAGAAAACGAATGAAATGATACCTCAATTGAATGTGTTTCGTCCTAGCATGAAAAACAACGTTCTTAGCAAGGTGAATCACACTCATATTGTCATTGTAGAGCTTTTCCAATCCCCTGCTCTTTGCCCAATTCTGCCACGAAACTTTGTAGTCAAATCATCTCCTTGCTAGCCTCAGTGATAGCAAAATATTCGGTCTTTGTAGTTGAAAGTGCAACGATCTTTTGCAATTTGGAAACCCAACTCATCACGATGCTCCTCAATGTAAAAATATACCCTATTGTAATTCTTCTACTGTTCATGTCTCCTGCTAGATCTAAACCTACAAATCCTTGTACACTGATCGCTGCACTTCCATAGCAAATTGTCATGTTAAGTCCTTCCATCAAATACCTGAGAATCCGCTGTACAATCTTCCAATGATGCCTGTCTGGATTGCTCGTGTGCCTGATGACCACTCCCGCTGCATATACAATATCCGTTCTGGTGCAAATTATCACATACATCAAAATTCTAATCGCTAAAGCATATGTAGTTCTCTTTATCCGTACTTGCTCTGCTTCAGAGTTAGGCAATAGCTCCTTAGGTAGCTTAAAGTGACTACCTAAGGGAGTGTTAACTGGTTTTGCCTCACTCATGTTGAACTTTTGTAGGATCTTCTCAACATATGCTGCCTGAGACAACTTCAGTGTTCCTGTACTCCTGTCTGTTTTGAAAAAACGACAGCAACTAAGTGAAAATTGGAACGAGAAATCCACAAAACGGAAACACAGCGGAACGCACAGATTTACGTGATTTGACAAATTGTCTACGTCTACGGAGTTGCAGAGGATTTTATTGCTTTCAGGATTTACACCCGTCAATTGCCCGACGATTTTACAAAAAAAGTTTTCTCGCTCTACCTCATTCTTTCTCCTCTCCTTCCTACCCGTGAGCACCACACAGAAGAAGAAGAAATAACAGGAGAGCGGAAGCCTTGTGATTCCCTTCTTTGTTCGTGAGCCAACACCGAAGAGGACCAGACTAAGTGCAGCAACCTTGCGATACAGTCTTCTCGTAATCCGAAGCGAAGAAGAAGATTGGGAGGAGCTCACTTCTGCGATGCACCAGAGAACATCATTTAATAGACATACTATTTCGGCCCATTAAGGTAAGGCCTTAATTGTGAATATCCCTCCATATTCCTGACTTTAATCGTGAAATCAGAGTGGAAGGCGGGACCTAAAGAAAGTGATGAGAAGCTCATTAAGGAAGGCTGTAGAAGCATAAAGAAAGAATTAATTATATTAAGAGCCAATTTAATTTGCTGCAAATAGTGGTTCGAGCTCCAACAATCCAACATTGTCCCTGTTGATTTTCATTCCAAGGATCTTCCTGGTTGGACCTAAATCTTTCATCTCGAAATCACTTGATAACTGTTTCATCAAGTCCTTGATTTTCTCTATATTTGCCCCTGCAATCAGTATATCATCCACATACAATAAAAACGAGATATAACAATTATCGAAGTGTTTGATGAATCAACAGTGGTTTGCCTGACACTTTAAGTACTTATTTTCTGACATAAACCTATCAAACTTTCTGTACGATTGTTTCATGGCCTGCTTCAAGCCATAGAGACTCTTTTTTAATCTGCAGACCAATCTTTTTTGCCTGAAACTTTGTAAACTTGTGATTGCACCATATATAGCTCCTCCAGATCTCTATGTAAGAAAATTGTTTTTACATCTATCTGTTCTAGATGTAGATCTTCTTCTGCTACCAGGCTCAACACAATCTTAACAATCATTTTTTTCACCACTGAGGAGAAGATCTTTGTATAATTCACTCATTCTACTGGAAACTCTTCACAATAAGTCTTGTCTTGTAACACTTTCTACCATCTGACTCCTCTTTCAACCTGTAGACCTACTTATTGTGCAGTATTTTTTTGTCATTTGATAGAACCGTCAAATCCCAAGTCTGTTTTGACTCCAAAGATTGCATTTCTTCTTCCATGGCAAGCTCTCATTCCCCTAAATCTTCAAATTGAGTGGTCTCCTCAATGCACTATGGTTCACCACTAACAGTTAATAACAAATAGTGTAAATAAGGAGAATACTTGTGTACGGGTCATATCACTCTGCTGGATCTTCTGACTTTTGTTGCAGGTGACCGAGGAACTTTTATTGCTGTTTTTGGTTGAGCTATTCTTCTTTCTTCATCTGCTTGATTACTGGTATCATCTATCTCCATATATCTGGATTCTTCAGAAGTAGCTGACGTATTATCTTGAGTTTTGACTATGTCCTTTATATCTTCATTTCGTTAAAATTGTCATCCCTACTCTTGATAAATTTATGATTCTAATAATCCTAAAACTTGTACCCAAACCCATCTGAGTCATATCCAATAAAGGTGCACTTGACAGATTTCGAGTCAGGCTTGCTCCTGGATCCTACATCAACATGCACATATGTAAAACACCCAAATACTCTTAAGTGAGATATACATACATTTTTGTCACTTTAGGCTTCTTCAAATAAGTTTTCCTCCAAAGGTATTAATAAATTACAGTTGATTAGATAAACTGTAGTGTTTACTGCTTCAGCCTAGAACTGTTTTAACAAACCAGCATGCAACCTCATGCTCCTGACACGCTCCGTTATTGTTCTGTTAATGTGCAGCCACACGATTTTTCCGCGACGTCCTTGGGACAGTGAACTCATGCCTCCATACTTGAATACAAATTCATGAACTTCTGATCGTGATACTTGTCTCTATTATCTGATCTAAAACACTTCAGCATCAAGTCTGTCTCATTTTCTGCCATAGCCTTCCACTTCTTAAAGACTTCAAATACATCGAATTTTTATTTTAGGAAATAAACTCATACTTTTCTTGTGTGCTCATCAATGAACGCGACAAAATATTGAAAACCTCCAATAGACTGAACTGGAGTAGGACCTCATACATCAATATGCACTAACTCCATTTACTTTGACTTCACCACTGACCCGCTCTTTGAGAAAAAAACTTTTTTATACTTGTCATATATGCAATCTTCATAAAATCAATACATTTCTTGCTCATATGACCAT